CGCTCTCCCTACTTCTGCGACCTAATTAAAACCTCACCAACCTGTCCTCTCCCTCCACTCTGCAGGCAAGGTCCTGCTCCATGTCCCCCGCCCTGATTAGCAGTCGAGCTTTCTACTTTCTGCCCCCATCCTCTGGAACTCCATCCTTGACTCCTTTTGCCGAGCCCTTGCCTCCTTCAAGGCCCGTCTTTTCGACCGTGCCTTCGGTCATTATCCTCCTCCACCCCGTTTGCCTTTGACCTCTCTGATCCCAACCTGCAGCTCGGGTACAAACCCTTCATTATCCAGCGCCTTGGAACAACCTCCCGGGGTAAAAGGCACTCTAGAAATGCAATTTGTTGTTGTTGTTGCCTTCAGCCATCTTTTCCCAGGCCTCCTCCACCCCTCCCCAAGCTGTTGAAGCGATGCGAAACATGCTGAATAAAAGTAAACTGTTATTGCACTGCTATGTGAGACGCTATCTAACCTAGCTGCAGGGCGTGATATAGAACTGCAAGTCTTGTTACTGCCATTTGAAACGCTATCCTCTGTGAACAGCGATAAGTACACATATCATTGTAAATTGTTGTCTGAACCATTCCTTTGGTTAGAGTTTAGTTTAAGACTTTTTTAAGTTTCACCATTGATATCATCATTCGAAGAGTCATTCACAAACACTATTATTTCCATTTTAATCGGCTGCAGGATTGCCTCCAAAACACACACACTTACTACACGTTACAGAATGTCCTGCGAAGCGCTTTGAGATTTCTTCCCTGTGCGAAAGAAGCCGTAAAGGGATATTGCTATTATTATTGTTATTATGTTATAACAGTCATGCCACGTTACATATGAATAGATTTTACTTTTCTTAATATATTTGAGCTTCCTAAAAGAGCTACCGTTTGCAGGAGGTTGATATATTGTTCACCAGGAATTATGTCAAGCTATTTTTGATGGCTCACGCCTCAGGCACTGGCAGCATCAGCATCCATGGATGCACACTCCACCTCACCAAGCCAGTCAGGAACCTGGGCCTCCTGTCCGATTCTCAACTATCCTTTCTTCTCCATATCCGTGCCAAGACCCGCTCTGCCTTCCCCCATCGCCACACATTACCAGACTCCGCCACTGCCTCACCCGTCAGGCTGCTGAAACCCTCATACATGCATTTGTCACCTAAAGGCTCAATTATGGAAACGTCCTCCTTGTCAGTCTCCCCGACTCTTCGCTCCACAAGCTGCAGATCATCCAGAACTCTGCAGCTCGTGTCCTCTTCCACACCAGGCTACATGACCCCATCAACCCCACCCTTGCCCGGCTCCACTGTCTCCCCATCTCTCAGAGGATAGAATTCAAAATCCTCATCCTCGTCCTCAAGGGCTACCTGCTACATTTCTGACCTACTGACCCCCTATCAACCTGCCCGCTCCCTCCGTTCACAAGGCTCCTGCCTGCTCTATGTCTCCGCCCAACCCACCCTACTATCAGCGGTCGGGCTTTCAGCCTCACCATCCCCACCCTTTAGAACTCCATTCAACGATCCCTTTGGCTTGCTCCCTTCCTTGCCTCCTTAAGGGCATGGCTCAAGACCCTCCTTTTCGACCATGCCTTCAGCCACCCTCCTACCTCTCTGCCCTCCCTCACGCCAACCCTGCCCCCACCCCATGCTCGGGTCCTGATCCCCGACTGTTCAGCACCTTGGGACATCCTCCCAACACGATAGGCGCTTTACAAATGTACTTTTGTTGTTGTTGTTGTTAACAGTTCCAGTTGCACCGATGATTATAGGAACTACGTTTGCTTTACATTGCCACATACGTCACATTCAATTTGTAGATGGATATATTTCCTGATTTTCTTATTTTTCACTTGTAATCACTTGGGATTGCCATAGCAATAATACTACATTATTATATTAGGATTACATTGTTATTATTTTATGTGATTCCACTTTAAATCATTCTGTAAAGGTAATTTCTAAATGGTTTTCTGTGATGGGTCAGCCAGACCAGTAACAGTGCCATTTTGCATATGAATGAATGTTACTTTACTTAATATATTTTCTTAGTATGTTGATTTTTTTTATTATATGATGTAAAGGAATATTGCTATATGCTTGGCAGCACTTTCATCTCTGAGTCAGAAGGTTGTGAGTCCAAGCCCCAAATTGGGACTTGGACTCACATAGTCTCAGCTGACACCGAATGCAGTGCATTGTCAGAGGTGCCGTTCTTCGGATGAGATGCTAAACATAGGTCCCAACTGTCTGTTCAGGTGGAATTTAAAGATTCCATGGTACTATTCAAAAAGAGGAGGGAATTTCTCCCGGACTATTTTGGCCAACAAAATAAAATTGGTCACTCAGTCCATGGCTGTTTGTAGGACACTGCTGTGCGCAACTACTGCGTTTTGCCCTCAAAATATACTTTACAGTGTATCTTGTGAAGTGCTTTGAGACGTCTTAACGATGTAATATGTTGCTATATCAAATGCAAGGATTGTTATTATGTATTATTCTTATTGTTATGTTAATCTTATGTTATATTATTCTTATGTTATATTATTATGATGGAAAATTAACTTATTCCTTTTCCTCTGCTCTTTTTCCAGGATTATTTTAATTGGAAGTCACCTCGGAACATCATGTGCGTTCCCCTAAAGCCGTCTAAATCCTGCGCTGTGGGCGCCAAGGGTCCCCCAAAGGGACATGGCATCCCGGCCCCTCCGAAGACCTTCAGCACTCGGAGAGGGGCCCTCATCCTCTACTCCGAGGACCTGGCCCATCAGTCCCGGTACCACAGGAACTGGACTAAGTGGTGGGATTGGGGTAAGATGGGGCTTCAGCGGATCAGCACACTGCGGGACTTGACCGGTGCCATCCTGTCCTATGGGAACGAACCGGTGAGTGGGCTGACATCACCAGGCCAGGCAGGTTCCCTCTACATGCTTACAATGAGAGGACATCTCACCATGAGTCCTGTAAAGTAGAGGTTAGAGCACTAGGCTCGCAAGTGAGAGTTTGATTCTCGGGCAGGGCGAAACAATAATAAATTCGTCATTTTCAATCTACGACTGTTTGTGGGACACTGCTGTGCGCAATTGGCTGCCACGTTTCACCCACAAATATACGGTCAATTCACTTTACAGTATATTCTGTGAAGCGCTTTGGGACGTCTAGAAGACGTGAAAAGCGCTATATCAAATGCAAGGATTATTATTATTATAACCTTAGTCAAGTTTTCTTACTTCACACGCCTCAGTGTGTTGAATCCTGGACTTGGGGACAGAAAGTGCTGGGTTCACATCCTGATAGATAATAATAATAATAATTATTATAATCCTTGCATTTGATAGCCAATTGCACACAGCAGTGTCCCACAAACAGCCATGGAGTGAATGACCAAATTTCTTATTTGGGGGATTTGTTGGCCAGGACACCGTAGATTCACTCAGAACAAGAGGCAGAGAACTGGGAACTCTCTGAGGCTGAGCTGGTTCCCAGTATATCCCTGGCATAAAGTGCTTGGGAAATGTGCGAGAGTAAACATGTTCTCAACGCCGCAATCTGGACAAGCATCACACGGCCTGAAGGGTAACAGTCAGTTCAGCTCAGGCAGTCGCGCTCTCATCTCTGGATCATGAAGTTGGGGGTTCAGGCCCCACTTCGGGTCTCAAGCAATCTTCCGTGTAAACCGGTCACTTCGTTTTATGTATGCGAATAGCTGCCGCGTTTACTTTCATATCCACAGTCACTACACACAGAGCATGCTGCCACTGCGCCAGGCTGAGACCCAGTGTAGGAGGTAACATCTTTTGCTTGGCTTTCAGAGCGGTGCAGGTGGGAATGAGCCCGGCCCCTACCTCCACTTCGTTGGACACAAAAGTTGCCAGGGAAACCGCAGGATACGTCCAGGGTACTCAGCCAAACGTTATTTGTCCTATCTGTCCAAGACCTGGGATCCCAACATGGTGCATCGGCTACAGCAGGCAGGTGAGGGAACTCTGCCCGAGTCTGTCACTCTCTATGGGTTGTCCTCTCTCTTCACTTCCCCGCACCCTCCACACACACGTCTCTCTCTCTGGATCACTGTCTCTGTGCCTCCTCTCCCAATCTATCTGTCTGCTGCATCGTGCATAGCCTGGCACACTCTCGCCTCACGGTCAGAAGTTTGTAGACTCAAGCCCCAGGTCAGGAATTGGAATCACACAGTCTAAGTTGACCCTCCAAAGCAGTAGTGGGGTGTGCTGCATTTTCGGAAGCACCCTCCTTCGAATGAGACATTAAATTACGGTCCCATCTGCCGGTTCACGTAAAAATCCCATGCCACTATTCGAAAAGAGAAGGCAGTTTCTCTCTGCTGATGTCCTGGCCAACAATCTCCCAAATAAAATTGATCACTCACTCCATGGCTGTTTGTGGGATATTGCTGTGCCGCGTTTCGCCTACAAAGTATACAGCCAATCCACTTTACACTGTATCCTGTGAAGCGCTTTGAGACGTCTCAATGACGTGATAAGGCTCTATATCAAATGCAACAAAAAAAATGCAAGGATTATTGTCCGTCCCTCTTTGTATCTACCTCCCTGTCTGTAGAGGGGCTGATGAGGAGATGGTCTGTACAGTACTGCACCACGGACTCTCCCCCTCCCCCCCCCCCCCCCCCCCCCCTCGTGGGCAGGGATTCCCTCCACTCCCACAGCATCCTTGTCCAGCTTTTACCACCGTTATCTGCATAATAACCTGATCCAGCTGACACCCCCGCGTCACCCCCCCCCCCACCCATAATCTCTCCTCCAAGACTGCTCCTCTCTCCCTCACTCCCCCCTTCCCTGCGAGGTACCCTGTGAACCTTGGTGCCTCTCCCTGTGTTAACCCTAAGCTTGCCATTTTGCCGCAGGCTATCTTAGCGACTCCATGCTGCCTCGGGAGAATCTGGAAGCGCAGTGGCAAGTGAAATCCGACCTGTCATCAGTGCCCAGACCCTACCGGCTCCTTCCCAATATTCCCAACGTTGGCTCGATTCCACTCTATCGTGCCTGCCTGGACTCCCCAGGGAAGGAGGGGGCCCAGGAGAGAGGACAGCAGCCAGGTACTTGTCTGGGAGAAAGTCGGAGGGGGGTGTTTGCTGGAGGCTTGATGGGAGGGCTCAGGGGAAGTGTTTTGGGGTCTCACTCCCCACTCCCACTCCCTCACCAGGGTACGGTGGGGGAGTGAGGAATATTAGAGGAAGGTGAGATTGATGGGATATCAGAGATAAAGCAGAGGAATGTGATCCCAGAAATGTGTGGAGCAGAGGAGATGGGTTCAACTCCAAATGAATTTGGGCCATCCTCTCTCTTCCGCTTATTATGTCTGAAATTCACAAGATGTCGAGAGAGTCAGACCGCAAAAACCCCTCGGCCCTCCTCGATCTCGTCCTCCAGAACACCCACTCCACCTTGTCCGGCTCAGTTGGTAGCACTCTCTCCTCTGAAGAAGAATGTTGTGAGTCAAGCCCCACATTAGGACTTTGAACTCAAGGTCTAAGTTGACCCTCCAGTGCAGTGCTAGGAGTGAGCTGTATTGTCAAAAAGTGCCGGCCTTCCGATGAGTCAAGCGGGGCGGGGGGCAAAGGTGGTGGTGCTAGGAAGATGACCAAAGGCGTGATTGAAGAGGAAAGTCTTGTGATGGACCTTGAAGGAGGCAAGGGATAGGGCGAGGCAGAGGGGCTCTGGGATGGAGTTCCAGAGGGTGGGGGCAGAAAGGCTAAAGGCCTGACCTCCAATAGTAGAGCAAGCAGGGCATGGAACGTGGAACGTGCATGTTGAGTGGAAAGAGCGGATGGGTTGGTAGGGTTTTAGGAGCGAGGGCAGAGCAAGACCGTGGAGGACAAGGATTGCAATTTATTGTTAGAAGAGTTAGCTGCTGCCGCAGTGCCCAGAGGAGTGGTGAATCTGCTCTGTGTACATACTCTACCCAGGTGTTGTCACACTGAGATGAGCCACAGGCTGTTGCTTTGCCTGAATGCTCCCTATTGTCTGAAGGGATTAAGCTGACCTCAGAACAACAGAGGCCTTAAATTATTGATGGGACGTCTCATACCAGTTTAAGGTGACACCAGTTCCTTTCACCCGGACCTAGCTGGCTGTCAGTCTCTGAACCACAGGGAGCGCGAGTTCCACCAGCTCGCCATCAACGTGCCAACCACCCAGCAACCCTCCATTCTGTGTAGCTGCCGCAAGACATTAACCACAATAATAATAATAACAATAAACCTTGTACATTCAAACCTGGTCAAGCAACCACCCGGTTCTCATTTCCATACACCAACACCCATACTCGGAGGCCACTCTTTTATAACGGCCACTTTGGTCCAATGCCTTGATCGGTTGTTTAGACAGGTTTGATCTGTATTTTAGATAGCACCTTCACTGTCTCAAATCTCCCTGTGCCTTGTCAGACTGGCTCCAGTTAACTCTCGCCCGTGAATCAGAAGCTTCTGGATTCAAACCTCAATTGGAAGCTCATAGTCTGAGTTGACATTCCATTACAGTGCTGGGAGGGTGCTGCATTGTTGGAGGTGCCATCTTTTGGATGAGACGTTAAACCGAGGATCCCTCTGCCTGTCCAGGTGGACGTTAAAGATCTCATCACACTATTCAAAAAGAGAAGGGAGTTTCTCCCAGTGTCCAGTCCAACAATCCCCCAGATAAAATTTGTCATTCATTTTATGGCTGTTTCTGGAATATTGCTGTGCACAAATTGGCTGCTGTGTTCAGCTACAAAATACACAGTCACTACACTTCACAGCAATGTCTGCAGTAAAAATGATGATTATTATTGTTGTTCAAATTTTTTTAACGTTCCTGCTTTCCATTGAAAGATGGGGCTATTGCAATGCCCAAATACAGGGAAGTGGGAAGAAATATTGTACGTTGGGGACCGGGGGGAATCCATAGTTGGCTGTACAGAGAGGCCGAGAGTGAACAGCTGGAAGTGGAGCGAGGCGCTGAACTCTACATGCTGATTGCTTTCCCACCAGACAACAAAGAGCTCCAACAGAGTCATGCCTATCAGGTACAGCCACCAGTGTTTGGGGGTGGGGCGGGGGGACAAGTACAGTATGTAACTCATGATATGTTGGAGGCAAACTCTCAGTGTGTTAGAGATTAACTTTTAGTGTGTTGGAGATTAACTCTCTGAGTGTTGGAGATTATCTCACTCTGACACTTGTGTATCTCGGAGCAGGTTTCTGAGAAAGCCATTGCCCCTATGTTCACCCTGGTTTCTCTCTCAGCCGCCGGATGGAGACTGTGTGAAGGAGGGTAGGAGGCTGGGCCAGGCTGCGATTGATTCCTCGCTCCTGGTCAGTGAAAAATCAAACCTCACCTATTACAGTGGCCCACTCGTCCGCGACAAGAAAGGCATCATTGGTGAGTAGAGGAATGCAGATCCGCACCCTACTGCACATCAACATGTCTCAGAGTTTTCAGAGAGCACAGATAATATAGATTAATAACAGAGAGTAACCCAGAGGATGACTGAGATTCTGGGAGACAGCACATTGAGATTGGTGAGGATCCCAGAGAGAGTTATAATAACAATAACTTGCATTTATATAGCACCTCAATCAGGGTAGCGCCTCAGAGTGTTTAACAGTGGCGGAGACTGGCGCTGAGCGAGGGGGAGGGAAAGAGGTGACCATAAGCAAAGTCGAAGGGGAAGGTCTTTAGGCGTGATCTGAAGATGGGGAAGGAGGGGGCAAGGCAGTGAGATTGAGAGCGTTCCAGAGTTTCCTACTTGAACTGGGATTGGTGAGTATCCCAGAGAGAGATACACTGGGATTAGTGAAGGTCTTGTGTAATGACTTTCTCGCTTTCGTTAAATTTTTTTTAATTAAAATTTTTTTAAAAAAATGTAATGTTTGTTGCCTTGCTGTGTGTTGGCAGTGAAAGCCGAGTGCGGCCAGGCCTGCAGTGGGAGTTCGGAGCTTGGACATCCAGCCACCATCCCTGGTGGTCTCCAACTGCCTTCCCTTTCGTTTGGAGTGCGTTCTCTTCAGGAAACATTTGGTGTCGACGTAAGGCTTGGGGCGATCAGAGAGGTAAGGTTTGGGGAGATAAGGGAGGTAAGGTGTGGTGAGATAAGACAGGTAAGGCTTGGGGAGATCAGGGAGTGAGGAGCCTGTCAGATATTCCTGTGGGCTCTGTGTAATTTTCTGCCTAATTTGTGTTTTGATCCTTCAAAGCCAGGAACACTGAAACTTCCAGTTATTGAGTTGGGTTCTGAGGAGAGCTCCCAGGAGACAGAGAGAGGCAGAGGAGAACCCTCAGAGGTGATGGAGATGGTTCTGCCCATGGTGAAAGGCATTGGTGACATTGGTGAAGCCCTCTGTGAGCCGGTGGCAGGTATGGTAAGCTGTTAAAGCTTAGTCTTGTTGTAGTTGCAGGCTTGTGCATAGACCTTGGGATTGACCTGTCAGTGCAAAATCAGCGGTGGAGCAACAAGTATCTAGCCTGTGCTCACCTGGGAGTGCTGTACCTAAACAGTACTCACCTGGGAGTGTTGTATCTAACCTGTACTGTCCTGGGAGTGCTGTATCTAACCTCTATTGTCTTCATCTGGATGCGCTGAAAGAGTAGATGGAGCTTTACGTTGTGTGTAGCTCACAATGAAATTGTCTGAGCTTAACATTGGCAATCCTTGCATTTGATACAGTGCTTAAATTGACCATCTCAAAGCGCTTCACAGGATATACTGAAAAGTAAATATACTTAAATACACTTAAATAAATATATTTATTTTTAAAATGCATATACTTAAATACACAAATCCATGTAGGTACTGTTGAATACACTTATCTACATACAGACAGTCGAAAAGGCTCAATTTTCAAGCGCTGCGATCGGCCGGTCACCTTAACAAATGTGAACGATTCCGGGCTGAGGTCAGGGCCCCTGTGTCCTTCAGCCTTTTCTTAACGTCCAAACGGTGCACAGAACAAGCCAAAACCTCGGGCCAAGCAAAAATCTCAGAGAATGAAGACGAGAGCCTGGCCGACTGCGAGAGCAGGAGGTGTGCTGCCGGCAGAGTGCGGACGATGGGGCTGGACGATAGAGCCGGTGGGGGCCAGATTGGAGCTCAGAAATTCAACGCGATGGAGGTGGAAGGGAAAAGGATGAGAATCAAGATGGATTTCAATGAGCGAACGGTGGAAGGTAAGGTTCAAAATAGGAGGGTGGAGAAGGAAAACCATTGGTATGGACTGGTTGAGCCGAATGGCCTATTTCCGTGCCTTCTCATCCTATGTAACTCCTTTGTGTGTTCAGGCCAGTTATTGCCTTGTCTTACCAAAAGCCTGTCGTTTTTGGCTGCACAAACTCACTTCTCCCATCCTACACGTCATCTTAAAATGCATTGCTTACAGTGAAGCAGGGGAGGTCGGCCGGAGACGTGATTCCAGTTATGCAGTGGGGGTTGCGGTGCAGGGGGTAAGGCCATGGCAGCAGTGGAGCAGTTGTGGGGCAGGTGTATGCAGGCCAGCAGGGACTACAGAAATTACTTACACTCTGTTGTTGGTATAACTTCCGAGTATAACCGGGACAACCCCATTCTCCAAGGGCGTTCATTGTCTTTGTGAACGCAGCTGATTCACATGGACAGAACAGCTGTCATCATGGATGCTCGTCTGAACTTCAGAATCTGTAGCATTTATAAAGCAACTGCTCCATCTGGTGGACCATTATCCCTTTTTTTTCCTGCAGTGCTAATCACAGCACAGGCTGGAGGGAGACCCTGTAATGTTGATACCGTGAGGGTCCATTTTCCTGAAGGGTTTATGTATATAGATCAAATAATGATATTAATTTATATTGATTGGAAGGTGCAGGGGTCAGCCTGGCTCAGAGACACCTCTGACAATGCATTGCAGTGTCAGTGTAGGTTGTGAGTTCAAAGTCCTGATTTGGGACTTGAACCCACAGCCCTCTGAACTCAGAGGTGAGAGTGCTACCAACTGAGCTAGGCTGACACCTGATGTATACACCTCTTTCTTCTCTCTGATAACCAGCTCATTAATCTCTGTCTATTTCCCATCCAGAGGGTTGTGAAGAGGGGCCAGTTTCGAGGCCGACCCTCCTGATATTGCCTCCAATAGTTGGAAGGAAGGGACCAGGCAACCAGAGCAGCATGGCCAGCTTCTGGACCCAGGCCACCAACGCAAAAGCTCCAGCCACAGGAATAGTGCGAGGCAGTTTGCCCCAGATCCTGCGAGGTAGAGTGCGGAACACCAGCCACCAGGGGCAGTCTTCCCAGTTCAGGACATTGAGTAGAGGTTTGGCCATCTCTAAACTCAGGGGACCCACTCAACACAAGACCAGGGTTGTCAACGTTAGGAGACGGAGATTTCACACCTGTCATCTCTTTAAGTAAAGATTTGCTAGTGCGCCAGGAACATTTAGGGCAACTTAGACTTGGATGTCTGACTTCAGTGTGATTTCAGTTAGATTCACCACTGGGTAAGGGACACAGAGTTAGACATACTGCTAGGTTAATCATAATGGCTGCCCTTCATATCCGAAGTTGTCCGTTCACACAATGTGAACACCTGGGTGCGTGAATTTGTTTACAATGTAGAAGCTGCTGCCCGCACAGAAACCACACTCTTAGGTAGCAAGCAGTGCAGTGTCAAGGAGTATCCAAAAACCTTGACTACAACAACAACAAAAAAAATTACATTTACAGAGCGCCTTTTACGTCGGAAGGACGTCCCAAAGCACTGAACAGTCAGGTGTCGGGGCCCGAGCATGGGGAAGGGGTGGTTAGGGGTGAGGGAAGGCAAAGAGGTGGGAGGGAGACCAAAGGCACGGTCAAAGAGAAGGGTCTTGAGACCGGCTTTGAAGGAGGCAAAGGAGAAAGCGAGGCGAAGGGACCGTGGGATGGAGTTCCAGAGTGTGGGGCCAGACAGGCTGAAAGCCCGGCTACCGATGGTAGGGTAGGTCGGGTGGGAGACATGGAGCAGGCTGGAGCCCGCTGAACGGAGGGAGCGAGCAGGTAGGTATGGAGTCAGCAGGTCAGAGAGGTAAGAAGGGGCAAGGCATGGATGGTCTTAAAGGTGAAGACGAGAATCTTGAACTCGATCCTCTGAGTGATGGGGAGCCAATGGAGTTGGGCGAGGGTGGGAGTGATGGAGTCACAGAGCCTTGTGCGTGGGAGTACACGAGCTGCATTGTTTTGGATGATCTGCAGCTTGTGAAGGGAAGAGTTGGGAAGGCCATAATCGAGCCTTGATGTGACGAATGCGTGGGTGAGGGTTTCGGCAGCCTGAGGGGTGAGGCAGTGGCGGAGTCTGGCAATGTTCCGGAGGTGGTGGTAGGCAGTGCCGGTCATGGCGCGGATGTGGGGGAGAAAGGACAGTTCAGGGTCAAACAAGATACCCAGGTTCCTGACTGGCTTAGTGAGGTTCAGTGTGCAGCTGTGAAGGCTGATGCTGCCAGCACCTGAGGTGTGGAGGCGCTGGCGCGAGCCAATCAGCAAGGCCTCGGTCTTGCTGACGTTGAATTGGAGAAAGTTGGCCCTCGTCCAGGATTTGATGTTGGAACAGGCAGTCGGTCAGGACCTCAGTAGTCTTGGAGTTCAGGATGGTGGCAGAAAGGTAGAGTTGGGTGTCATCCGCAGACATGTAGAAATTTACACCATGTCTGCGGATGATGTCCTTAAGGAGGAGCATGTAGAGGGTGAAGAGGAGGGGACCGAGGACAGAGCCCCGAGGAACACCGCACAAGACGATGCGGGGGGCTGGACGAGAAACTGTTTGCCGCGACAAAGCGGAGGCGGTGTGAAAGTTAGGACTACTTGCTAACTGCACTGGCAGAAACCATTACACCTGGAAAGCTAATCTCACAGTATGGCAGATAATTCACACACAACAGAAGATTCATCCTCGCTGAACTGGGAATCTGACAAGATCGAGTCTTCAACTCAGGGTGAGGAGCCTTGGTCATCTCTTCACCATGGCTACGTTCAAACCCAGGCCGGAGTTGAAAGTGGATTCTCAAAAGAGACAGATCTGAGATAAAGTGATTGGAAACTGGGTGTCAAAAAAAACATGGAAGCAGCTCATCCAGACCTGAAATTATTGCCTCCCCGAGACCATTTAGTCGCAACATTTAAGGTGGTGCAGAATTGTCGGACATTCTTCAAATTCAGTCTGATTATAATAATAATAATCCTTACTTTTGGTACAGTGTCTTTCACATTGGGAGGATGTCTCAAAATGCTTCACAGATATTATTGTGAAGTACAGTGACTATATTTTATGGGTAAACACTGGAGCCAATTTGCATATAGCAATACCCGCAAACAGCCACAAAGTGAAAGATCAGTTTTATCTGCGGGGTTGGTGGCCAGGTCACCGGGAGAAAGTCTCTTTTTTTTTAGAAATGCTATGGAGTCTTTAACATTCACCTGAGCTGGGAGATGGGATCTCAGTTTAACATCGCATCCAAAGGATGGCACCTCTGACAATGCAGCACACCCTAAGCACTGCATTGGAGATCAGCATAGACTGTGTGAGTTCCAAGACCTGATGTGGGGCTTGAACCTAAAACCTTCTGACTCAGAGGCAAGAGTGCTACCAACTAAGAAAGGCTGATTCATATTTTTGGAAGCCAGTTTCTTTTAAGAATCATGGAAAACGTGGCTACCTAATTAAGACAGAATCTTAAGAATTTTCCATAATTCTGCACTATATTTCCTTTGAAGAGCAAGATAGTGTCATGGGCTTAGTGAGACCTAGTGGGATCTCAGGCCTCTTCAGCCCAATGGCTTTGTTGAATGGAAGTGCAGTGTGTCCATTATAAGTTAATGAGTATGTGATGTGGGGTGGTCCCTCCGATGACTTTACAAGAGAACTGATAGTCATGGTCAATTCCGAGTCTAGCTCAGGCACCACAGAGCATGTGTCGCATCACAGGCACCTTCACACTTAAGTGCAATTTCCTATCAATTTGATACTAGCCTTACATTAACGCTGCTCTTTTTTAATGTCCTAGATGCTCACAAAGGCAGTTCAGTGGGTAGTCTGATCATGGGTCCTGATGGTCAAGTGGTTCAGCTCTCACTGTTGGGATCCATCCGAGGTCCCGGAGACACATCGCAAATTGTCTCTACTGGTACACAAGGTAAGGACTTGTCTCTTTCATGGTGAGCTGCAGGTCACATTCTCTCACTGGCCCTTTTCCCTCAGAACCCAACTCACCTACACAATCGCCGAGAGAGTTGTGCTTTTTGATTTAAAGGGGCACTGCCTTCGAGAAAGAGCATATGGCAAAACTCTTATTCTTTGGTGAGGAACAAGAGCCACAAGTATCTCTGTGAGTGAGGTGAGAATCAGTCCTCACTGTCTCTGGTACCAGTCTCGCTCCTCACTGTCTCTGATACCAGTCTAGCTCCTCACTGTCTCTGATACCAGTCTAACTCCTCACTGTCTCTGGTGCCAGTCTAGCTCCTCACTGTCTCTGGTGCCAGTCTAGCTCCTCACTGTCTCTGGTGCCAGTCTAGCTCCTCACTGTCTCTGGTACCAGTCTAGCTCCTCACTGTCTCTGGTGCCAGTCTCGCTCCTCACTGTCTCTGGTGCCAGTCTCGCTCCTCACTGTCTCTGGTACCAGTCTCGCTCCTCACTGTCTCTGGTACCAGTTTAGCTCCTCACTGTCTCTGATACCAGTCTAGCTCCTCACTGTCTCTGATACCAGTCTCGCTCCTCACTGTCTCTGGTACCAGTCTAGCTCCTCACTGTCTCTGGTACCAGTCTCGCTCCTCACTGTCTCTGGTACCAGTCTCGCTCTTCACATTCCCATCTCACCTGAGAGGTGGTCAGTTCTTTGAATGAGGCAGCAAAACCTGGTATTTTGCTTCACAGAGGACAAGCAGCAGCACTCTGGCCTCACACAAGAGGAGCCTTGGGCTGACTCAATGCAGGATCTGGAAGGTGAGAACGTCTGGCTTGGGGGCGGGTGGAGTGAGAGAGTGGATCGGGGGTGGGGGGGGGGGGGATTCTGCTGTCCACTGTCAATCAGTGCTGTAACAGTACAACAACAACGACAAATTACACTTGTATAGTTGGGGTCAGGAGGGGTTTGAGGGCAGGGCAGTGGGGGTGGAAGAGTGGACGAAAGCTCGGACAAAGAGGTATTAGCCCTCAATGGGCAGATGGCATTGTAATGGGCAGATGGCATTGTAAGCCTGCCTGCACGGCTGTAACAGTATGTCTATAGTGTGGAACCCGGGATGGTCGACGGTTAATGTTCACAATTTAACCACTGAATAACCTGTTTCCAGTTGACTTTATAGAGTGGGCTCTGTGCAGCTAAGTTTGTGTTCGTGTGCATAGATAATAACAATCCTTACATTTGATATAGCGCGTTTCACATCAGGAGGATGTTCCAAAGCATGTCCCAGGATATAACGTAAAGTGAAGTGATTTTGTTTTGTCGGTGAACATATATACAGTATTTACAATAGAATAATAGAAATTACAGCATAGGAGGAGTCATTCAGCCCATCACAGCTATGCTGGTAATAACCTATGAAGCTAAGGTAACTTACTCCAAATCTTAATTCCCTGTAACCTCAAAAGCCGAAAAGCATTCCATGTGCAAACAAACTCCTGCACGTTGAGAATGCACCTTGTTCCCTCTGCAGGCCTCTTCACTCCTCTTTATCCACCTGTAATTCCCACTTGCCGGTTCGACCACTCCTGTGGTCACTTCTCCCTTGCTTGAAGTCCGATCTCAAAGTAAAAGGTCTGAGACGCTCTCCTCCTGCCTGAAGGGCGTTATAAATGCAAGTTGTTGTTTTGGTCTGACACATGCGGAAACCCATCACCATGCTTAAAGGATCCAAACCAAACTGAGAATTCAATGCATTCCCTACAATTGGAAATTCCAGAGATAGATTGTTGGAATGCAATGCGCACTTTCTCCCTGGGGAAGCATCCTGCTTACCTAATTCCGGCAAGTATTAGACGCAGATTGGCAAGAGCCAAGGTCTGGGATTCCAGAGTGTGTGTTGGGGTACTCCTGGAGTCTAACCAGCTAAGACTAGCTGGCCATTGATATCACTGTCTTGCAAGCTTTCCCGCTGCATGTCCAGTTATGACCACCCTACCCGTTTGGGCTTCGGCTTGCAGGGTTAACAGGAGCTGAGTGTTGTTGCAACATCTGTCCTCATATACAAACTTTCCAGATGATATTTTCTTTGTAACACTATTTCCTTTATTTAATGATTCTGGGTGGCTCTCCATTGCCATGCCAACGATGACTTAGCTGATTTCCTATTCCCTTCTGCAGCCGACGCCAAAGCTTGTGGAGATAATGTAGCTCCTAACCTGTGCCGAGCACCCGAACTGCCGAACTCAGACAAAGGGTGTGAGAGGAAGGTTGGTAATGACACTGCTTCTCTGTGATACCATACGATACATTCAGCCATGATATGAATGCCCAAGTTACATGGATCGTTGTTGGTAAGGACATTGGAAATGGGATGGCGTTCCTAAGGCTGGGGGCAGAGAGGCTGACCTGCTCCACGTCCCCCGACCTGCCCATCCAATCCCACAGTGCAATGTATTTTTCCCTGGAAATAGAGACATGAACATCACAAGAGTGTGTGGGATGTGGGAGGGGAGGTATAGAGGGAATATAGGATGGACTTAAGCAGATATTTTTCTCACCCTTTGTCCTGTAATCTGAGCTGAGCTGAATCACAACTTGAGAATGTATCATGAATGTAAAACAAGAGGACACAGGTTTAACGTTGTAAAGAGCAATTTCAGGACAAACACCAGGAAGTTTTCCTTTACGTAGATGGTAATCAATGAGTGGAACAGTTTGCCAGGAAATGTGGTAGATGCCAGGATAATGGACTCAAAGCAGCTTGAAGCAATGATTGGGGGGGGAGGGGGGGGGTGAAGTGGATTTTTGAAAGAATGAGATTAAATAGGCCAAAGGCTTTCTTTACCTGGACCAATATTGTGATCTTATGACAGGTATTTGATGCTTAGCTTGTTGTCTGAAGCTGCATTGAAAGTTGAAGAAAGAAATGCTTTGACCTCCCACTGACTCCTTCAATTTCTGAATCATTCTGCAGGTGTTGAGGAAGAATGGCTCGAGACCTGTTATCCTTGATGGGGACACATCAGGTAAGGACCAGTAAAACCATCTGATTGTTCTCTGTTGTGCTTTGCTGATGAGAACATTGGAACCAAGCAAACATTTCATTTGATATTGCGCCTTATCACAGCGTTGCAATGTCTCGAAGTGCTTCACAAAATTTTACTTGCCCTGGTTAATCCTGGAACCAATGGGCAACCCCAGGCTCCTGTTCTCCACAACCAACTGGCCCCTCTGCCCTCCCCACCACACCTCGCAGATTCTTTCCTCTGACTCTCACTGCGAGAAAATACTGGACTTCCTCGAGTCCAAAATTGAGGGAATCCGTTCAGCTGCCACTGCCCTCCCAAATTCCACCCCTTCCCTACCCCCACCCCACACTCCGACAATTACCCATCCCTTCTTCCATACCTTTGAACCGGTCAACCCCTCCTCTGTCTTTACCACCATGTCCTCCATGAAGCCCACCACCTGCTCCCTGGACCCCATCCCCACCCCTCTCCTTAAATCCCAGCTCCACCTCCTTGCCCCACTACTTGGCAACATCATCAACTGCTCCCTGTCATCTGGCACTGTTCCTTCCCCCCTCAAAACAGCCATTATCACCCCCACCTTGAAGAAACCTTCCCTTGACCCATCACAGCTATCCAGCTACCGGCCCATCTCAAATCTTCCTTTCCTATCCAAGGTCCTTGAGAGAGTCGTTGCCTCTCAGCTTCGCTCTTTCCTCCCCTCCCACTCCCTCCATGAACCCCTCCAATCAGGTTTCCATGCTGCCCACAGCACGGAAACTGCTCTGGTCAAGGTCACAAACGACATCCTGACCATGTGCGACCATGGCTCCCTCTGTCTCCCATCCTCGTCGACCTTGGATCACTCAATCCTCATCCACCGCCTCCCCTCTCACCTCAACCTTCAAGGTTCTGTCCTTGACTGTTCAGGTCCTACCTTTCACACCGTCTCTACTTCGTCGCAGCAAACAGCTTCTCCTCCAGCCCCCGCATCATCTCATGCTGTGTTCCTCAGGGCTCTGTCCTTGGTCCCCTCCTCTTTACCCTCTACATGCTCCCTCTTGGTGACATCAGCCACAGACATGGGGTAAATTTCCACATGTATGCGGATGACACTCAACTCTATCTCTCTGCCTCCACCCTCAACTCCAGGACTACTGAGGTCCTGACGACTGCCTGTCTGACATCAAGTCCTGGATGAGGATCAACTTTCTCCAATTCAACATCAGCATGACCGAGGCCCTTCTGATTGGATCGCGTAGGCGCCTCCGCACCTCGGGAGCTGGCAGCATCAGCCTCCATCCCACGGTCCCTTCGTCTTGCTTCCTCCCTTGCCTCCTTCAAGGCTGGTCTCAAGACCCTTCTCTTCGATTGTGCCTTTGGTCGCCCTCCCACCTCTCTACCTTCCCTCACCCCTACACCACTCCTCCCCATGCTCGGGCCCCAACACCTGACTGTTCAGCGTTTTGCGACGTCCTCCCGACATGAAAGGTGCTCTATAAATGTCATTTTGTTGTGTACTCTAAAGTGCAGTGAGTGGATTTATAGGCCAATAGATATAATGGGCAGTGTAGTCCTCCCAATGTGGGTGGGCACAACCCTTTCCTTGCACATCAGGATTTAATTGGTAAATAAATCTCCTTGAACATTATCCACTCTCTTAAAGCATTCATTGTTCACCGATCACAATAACATCTGTCAGTGTAGCCTATTAGATGGCTGTGGTTACAAAATACTTCACAGTAAATGCACCTGATAAAATCAGTCACTCACTTCACGGTTATCTGTGGGACATTGCTGTGCACAAATTGGCTGCTGTGTTCGCCTGCAAAATAGTCACCACACCTACAGTAAAAATCCTGTGAAGCGCTTCAAGATGTCCTAATGACAGGATAAGGAGCTACATTAAATGTAAGTATTATTGTTGTTATTATGTTGTGTTCTTTGTGGGGGATTGTTTAGCAAGTGTTGATTTGACAGGAGAAGTATTGGGGTGTCAGCCAAAGGGACAAACGACAACTTGCACCAGCTGGAAATGTCAATCCATTCTGAAGTAGAATCATTTAGAGCAAAATCCCCGTCTTTGCTTTCAATGTCCTCCTACCTCTGTGACCTACTAACTCCATACTGACCCGTCCACTCCCTCTGACCTGCTCCACGTCCCCCGACCGGCCCACCCTATCGGCAGTCGGGCCTTCAGCCTCTCTGCCCCCAACCTTTGGAATTCCATCACACAGTCCCTCTGCCTCGCCCGATCCCTTGCCTCCTTCAAGGCCCATCTCAAGACCTTCCTCTTTGACCGCACCTTTGGTCTCCCTTCTACCCCTACACTCTGCCCTCCTACCCTCCTGATCCCAACTTCCAGCTTGGGTGCACATCCTTGACTGTTCAGCACTTTGAAACGTCCTCGTGATGTGAAAGGCACGATACAAACGTAATTTGTTGCTGTTGTTGTTGAATAGGGGCATTGGGTGAAGATCAAAAAGCCTCTCTGTTGCTGCAGTCCCATCAGAGTTCACATTCCAATGAAGGAAATGCAGAAGGTTCACCAGAGGAGGTGAAAGATGCTGTGGAAGGTAACCACAGGGGAGAGCAATGTCATCTTGTCACCACTCCATAACATCCTGGATTCCTACCATCTATGTCCCATTAACATGCTATTTGTGTTCTTAATGTAACATCATTTGGATGAAGGCTCAACCAGTTTGTGAATTGCGCCTGTTGCACTGACCACGCTCAGGGAGGCCATAAAGATGGTCAGAATAGAAAATGCTGGTTGACATAGTGTTCTGAGGTTGGCATTCCAGTGCATTGTTGGGGGCAGTGTAGATGGAGTTTGATGCTCCGTGTAAGTGCTTGCCGGGAGAAGATTTTAGTAAAGTGCTTGAAGGTTGAAGAAGCTTTAGTTACCTGTGGCACAATTGACCTGGGAACATATAATGGGCCTGGACTTGTATCGAGAGAAGAGAGGAGCAGAGCTTCTTTTCACACAAAGGGTAATGGAAATCTCGAACTCTCCCTCAAAAGACTGTGGATGCTGGATCAATTGAAATTTTCAAGCCTGAGGTTTATAGACATTTGTGAGATAAGGGTATTGTGGAGTCCTGTGGTTCAGTGGTTAGAGCACTCGCCTCACAAGTCAGAGACCTGGGTTTGATTCCCGGTAGAGCAAAACATTGTGCAAATTTCCTTATTCCACACTCCTCTGTTTACCTAACAGTAAATAGGAACCCAGTTGATAGTCAATTGGCGGATCGCTTTTCCGGGGGTAATAATTCCTTAAACAAAATTGGTCCCTCAATCCACGACTGTTTGTGGGACATTACTGTGTGCAATTGGCTGCTGCATTTCACCCACAAAATATACAGTCAACTCATTTTACAATATATTCTGTGAAGCACTTTGAGATAACTCGAAGGTGTGATAAGGAGTATATCAAATGCAAGGATTATTATTATCAAGGAATATGGAGCAAAGGTAGGTAGATGAAGTTGAGGTACAGATCAGCCATGATCTAATAAAATAGTGGAACAGGCTCGAGGGGCTGCATGGTCTATTTCTGTTCCTATGTAGAAAATGAATCTATTGAAAACTTGCTGTTATTTGGGTGTGGCTGTCTGATCTAGAGGCCATCTCCACTGTATAAATGTATGACCAAGTCTTGTTCTGTTGTCACACTGAAGCTTTGTAAAACAGATGAGGACTTGAGTTGCTAACGTTACTTGTTCTCTGTTCTCAGGTTTTTCTGAAGGGATGTCTAATCCACTATACACACCAACCGGTTCCACCCACACCACAGTGAGCCGGATCTCCTCCCCATTGAGCCCAGTTTACTCTCCAGCGAGCTCCCCAACTGGCTCGATCTATTCCAAGACCGACCCCTTCTCCACCCTGATTGAGCCAATCGACCCTCCAGCTGGCCAATCGCAGGGAGAAGCTGGCAAATCATCGGCAAATGCATTAGAGGTGTCGCCCACTCTCCATGAAGTGTGAGTGTGTGATTGATGCTGGTTTACCCAAGTTACTTTCAGAGGGTGAAGCTTTGGAACTCTCTCCCTCAATTCCTCCGCCTTGCCCCCTACTTCCCCTCTTTTAGATCACTACTGACCTTCCTCTTCAACTGTGCTATGGTCAACTCCTCCCTCCCCCCCGACTTGGCATCGGGCTCCACAAACTGTTAAGCATTCTGAGACGTTGCCCTGCGTGATATAACACAACTTATTGTTATTGCAAGGTGACACCCATTCACACTGATGTTTGTGAGCAATGCAGGAAGTGTGGTTCCGGTGAGCTACATTCAGTCATTCACTCTTGCACAGAGCAGTGATGGTTTGCCATACTACAATTCTGAAGATGACAGACATTTTCAGGGTAAACAGTGGCTTCCTTATCTGCTACCATCTTGATCCACAATGCTTCTTAATTGGCAGGATCGAGTGGCAAGAATTATTTTGTCATTACTGGATCATTCATTTGGTATCTACCTCCTTTTGGGGATGGGGGAAGGGGAAGAAACATGTCATGTGTTGTGATAATTGTCAAATGACGTATTGCATTTCTTTCCCTCTTGTCATAGTTAGATTAACCCAGCCAGGAGATACCATAAGGACATTGTCATTAGAAACATAGAAATCTACAACACAGAAGGAGGCCATTCGGCCTATCGAGTTTGCGTCGGCTCACAGGGCAAGGATATTGCTTCAGGCCCATTCTCCTGCCTTATCCCCACATTCCTTCAAGCCTTTCTCTTTCTTATGCCTATCTCCTTCCCTCCTGAAAGCTACAATGGACTCTGTCTCCACCACTCTACCTGGCAGGATGTCCCACATCCCAATTACTCTCTTGGTGAAGAAATTCCTCCTATGTTTTCGTTTCGCTGCTCATGTAATTCTCTTGTGACTATGGCCCCTGTCACTGATCAATGGAAATAACTGCTCCCTATTTACACTGTCAAAATCCTCGTACATTCGTACACCTCGATCAGGTCCCCACTCAATCTTCTCTGCTTCAATGAAAAGAGGTTTATAGACATTCAGAAGTTCAGAAATAAGAAGATTGTATCCACAGATGAACAGAGTTGTAGGACTGTGTTTATATTCTGTATCAACTGACTGGGAAACTCAGCCCAATGGACCAGGCCAGGACTTTCTTGATCTTTCTTTGGGACTTCTCTTGAGCTCCGTACAAAGCTTGCTTTCCTGGCCAAAATTCTGTCATAAAGCTCCTGTCCTTGGCTCTTTGCTGATGCTGATTGAGCTGCACTACCGGTAGAGGGTGCTAAAGAGGGACTAGTTCTTGTAAACCAATCTGATTTTAACTTCCTTTAACTAGGGCCAATTTGATCTCCCCTTGCAGCTTGAATGACACGAGCAAAATGAAATCGGGCTATGAACCAGTGAGGTCCGGGTCTGTAGCTCCACCAGCAGCTGAACTTTCAGCCTATCTACACAGCTTTCTAATCAAGGTCATCTCAAGACTTACCTGTTTGACCAAATCTTTGGTTATCTCTCCCCTCTCCCTGCCCCCAGCTCGGGTGCTAAACCAGGATTGATAAATTGATAAGTGCCTTGAATTACATATGTATAGTGCCTTTCATGTTGGGAGGATGCCCCAAGTGCTGTGAAAGGCCCTATACAAATGTAAATTCGTATTGAATTATAAGCTCGAGTTCTATCCTCTACACCAAGGTGGCCCAACCTTTTGGCTGCCGAGGACCGGATTCTCTATTTGAGAAAGGTCTGTGGGCCGCATGAGTAATATTTTGTGTTTCCCTTCCAGAAACATAACATTTACATAGCACCTTTTTTAAGTTGGAAGGTCATCTCAAAGCACTCGACGCTGTCGGCTGGGCACCTAAGCTGGGGGTGGCAGCCGAGAGGTGGAGGTGGGGAGAGGAAAAGATGACCGAAAGCGTGGTCAAAGAATTAGGTCTCGACTTTCCTTGAAAGATGGGAGAGGGGCAGCAAGTCGGATGGACGCCAGGAATGGAATTCCAGAGAGCAGGAACAAAATGATAATGGTGGGGCAGATGGGGTGGGACATGAAGCAAGCTGGTGTTTTCTGGATAAAGGGAATAGCTGGGTCGGGAGGTCGCAGAGGTAGGGTGGGGAGTGGAATGAAGGACGTAGAGGTGTTTCTCACTGGGGAAAAAGTGAGCTTTCTGGGAGGAAACTGCAGGGCATGTCACTCAGTGTCCGTTCTCGGTGCCCTCGTGGCGGCCGTGAGAAGCTCCGATTGTCTGTTCTGACAGTGAACCATGAAACACCGCCCTCAATTCTTTTTTCTCTTTCTGCTATCTCACTCTTTTCATTTCTCTCTCTCTCCCACTAGCCCTCATGCTCTCTCTCTCTCTCAATCACTCTCTCCCTCTCGCTCTGTCAATCACTCTCTCTACGTAATCTCTTGCACACTCTCTCAATTACTCTCACTCCCCTCTCTCTTCTCATGTTCTCACTCTCCCCTCTCTCTTTCTAACCTCTCATTCTCTCCTCTTCAATCCCTCTCTCCCTCTCAATTACTCTCTCTCTGCTCTCTCATTCTCATTCCCTCCCTCTCTCTTTCTTTCTCTCACCCTCTCCCTCAATTTTCTCTCAAACACTATCTCCATCCTCTCTGTCAATCACCTTCTCTCAATCTCTCCTCTCATTCACACTCTGACATATACTCTCCCCCTCTTTCAATCACTCTCCATCTCACTCAGTCCCTCTCCTCCCCCCACTTTCGTGACCTCTCACTCTTCTCTCTCTGTCTCTCTCTCTCTCTCTCATTACCCCCTGTCCCAATTCCTCTCTCTCCCAATCAGCCGCATGGTTCACCATTTGCAGCGTCAGGACTCGGCAGTTGCTAAGGTCGCGGTGGATAAGGAGACTCACTTGCTTTACTGACAGACTGCAGCAATGGCTGGTATTATTTCCACTGCGCTGCGTCCTCACAACCGCTGGCTCCTGCCGCTGCCATGGGTGAACGTTCACCAGGTAGGGACGGAGCGGAAGTTGGAATGTTGGAAATGGTCTCAGGCCGGATAAAATCACCCACCGGGCTGGGTGCGGCCTGTGGGCCACCTATTGGACCACTCTGCTCTACACCATCGGAGGTGGCCCTTCCCGTGCTGAACATTTTTGAATTGGGCTTTTCTTTGCGACGAAGCTCAATGGTGAGGAGGAAGCTTGTCTCCTCTGAGAGGACTCCTGGGATAAAAAGCACTGAAGCACTGATTGCCTGCTGTATGGTACTTATAGCAGAGGAAGGGGAGAGGGCCCTGCAATCTCCTCCACCAATTGACTTGGCTGAATATTATCTTATGTGAAGGGTAAACAACAGTGATTTATTCTGATGGATATGCGGGAGTTTTGGATATTAAATAGAATTATTTTATTACAATTTTAGCCCTGAGATGCTACCTCAAGTATAGAAAGTGTAGTAGAAATCTGGAATCCTCTCCCCCAGAAGGCTGTGGATGCTGGATCAATTGAAATTTGTAAGGCTGGGGTCAATAAATTTTTGTTAGGTAAAGGTATCAAGGGAGCAAAGGTGGGTAAATGGAGTTGAGGTACACATCAGCCATGATCTAATAGAATGGTGGAACAGGCTTGAAAGGCTGAATGACCTAATCCTGTTCCTACTTCATCCCAGCAATGGCAGCAGTGATCGGTGCGTCCAGCCTCCCAGTCAAAAGAGCAGCCAGCGGGTAAAGGACCAGGTGACGGCAGTGGAAGGTTGGACAGACACAAGCAGCCAGGACAAGGTGGTAGATTCAAAGGATCAACCTGGCAAAAGGACCACAGACATCAGTGCTGTAAGTTCAAGTACAATTCATTTTCCCCTCGCAAAACAAAAAATTACAACACTTATAAAAGGACTTTGTTACTGATATAAATAATGATTTGTAACTTTCGCAAAGACGGTTAAAAGAAGGGCAAGTTTAAATGTGTTGTGACGGACCATGCGTTCACTGCCCTAGTTCCTTTGGACATTGTTTCGCCCACAAATATACAGTCAATTCACTTTACAGCATACTCTGTGAAGCACTTTGAGACATCTAGAAGACACGAAAAGCTCTATATCAAATGCAAGGATTATTATTATTATTATGCCATTCTGATACCTTATACAGCACAGAAGGAGGCCATTCGGCCCATCGTGCCCATGCCGGCTCTTTGAAAGATATGTCCAAATTAATCCCACTCCCCCGCTCTCTCCCCATAGCCTTGCAAATTTGTCCTCCCCAACCTTATATGGGGAGAAATTCCACCTGGGTCGAGGTGTACTTTGTTCAGGTGGCTTTCACTGTGTCAAAAATTTGGCAAATTGTTGAATTCAGTTGCAACTTTGAAACTGATTTTCTGTAGTTTCTTACTTGCAAAAAATGGCTTCAAAAAATTAAGGCTGTGTATAAGAATTTGACAAATTCTGGATACTCTGAAATGCTACATAAGAATCGTGACCACGGTAGAATTTCTCCCCCATTAGGATTTTTTGGAGCCCGTAGTGCTGGTGTGCTTCCTTGTCTGCAAATGATGCGCGAAAGGGAGCACAAAAGAGAGAGTGAGAGAGAGAGAGGACACAAACAAAGAATAAATGGGAACATTAAACTGCTTTCATTCTATAGACAAAGAAAGACTATGGAGGGCACAAAACAATGAAGAAAGGGATAAAGGATTGGGATACCCCGAACAAGTCATCAGCTGTCAACAAGTTACCGAGGCAGCCAAGGGAGATCGAGAACAAGAAGCGCAATGACCGTGTGCAGTTTGTCGTGGGTAAGTGATATTGTCAATAATAATAATAATCCTTGTATTTGATATAGCAGCTTATCATGTTATTGAGATGTCTCAAAGCACTTCACAGAATATACTAAGTTGCGCGCAGCAATCTCTCACAAATAGCCATGGACGGAATGACCAATTTTATTTGGGGGATTGTTGGGTAGTACACCGTGAAATAACAATATTAAAAAAAATATATCTTTCTGCAGGAAAGCCCAAGGGCAAAAGAATGCAGAAACAATACCTGCTGAACATCAAAAAGCAGAAGAAGTCTTCAAAGAATGTATCCAGGGAGTTGGACGTACCTCAGGAGGAAGATGATGAAAATGGGAAGAGTATGCCTCGCAGCTCAGATGTGGATGGACTTCTAGACTCGAGTGACCAGATTGACTCTCCAACTACATCTGCTAACTTAATGTCACTCCTCTTTGACCAGTGCTCCATCTCCCAAATCGCTGTCGACATGCCTCACACAACAGTTCCAGCAATGGTAGGATCCCAGTTGTCAGAAGCAACAAAAGTAAACGTGGGGAACAAAGCACACATTGGGGTCTAAAATGCAGAATTTCTAAATGGATTCCCTGATAAGGAATCTCGTTGGAAATTCTGCAACCGAAAGCTTACATACAGGGCAAAGCTTTTACTGCTTCGCCCATTACCTACTTAAAGGACAACTACGTTAAGGACAAGCATAACGTAGGTTAAATGTAATGTAAAATTCTTACAAGTTATGTTTTGTTTTAATTCTGAACTGATATACGTAGTTTGAAATGACTACTTCTAATTTCCCCCTTGGATCAGAGAAAGGAACCTATGATCTCATCAGTCAGGGCTGTATTAAAGTTGGTTCTTGAGGTAAAAGATGAATGTTCCAACACACTGGATGTCTGACACATGGAAACTCATCACTGTGCTTAAAAGTATCCACATAGCAGATTTCCACATATGTATGGCAACCACACATGGAAATTTCCGTGACTGGAATGGAACGTGTACTCTCTCCCCGGAGGGTTGCACTTGCTTACCTAATTCTGAAGAGTATTAGGTGTAGGTTGGAAAGAACCAAGACTTGGGAACCCCAAGTGTGTTTTGGGTTACTGCTGGAGATTCACCAGATAAAGCCTCATAGCTTGCCATTGAAAGTATTGTCTGGCAAGCTTTCCCTTTGCCTGCCCAGCTTGGAGAACTCTACCGGTTAGTGCTTTGACTTGCATGGTTAACAAGAGATGGGTGGGAAGAATTGCTGCCCCATCTGCCCCTCCACGTCATGCTGATGAGCCAGGCTGGCTGGTCTGTCATCAGCTGTGCCCTGAACCAAACTGAAGCCCAGCACAAAGAGTTGACTTAAATCCAGCATTCCTTTGCCAACCATGCCACTTGAAGCAATCTCAGCTCCAAGGAGATGCTGTTTACCTCCCCATCCCTAACAAGGATAGTTATTAGGTAGACCTAATACAAAGTATTAAAGGGTAACAATAATCTTTGGGAATGCTTGCAATTGATATAGCACTTTATTGCATTGTCAAGTCATCTCAAAGTGCTTGGGAAAATGCAGAGGAATTGGATTAGAATAGATCGCTCCAGTGGAGGAGAGAGCACCAGCTCAGACAGTGGTTCAAATGAATGGCCTCTTTCTGTTCTTTGGACAGCTTTCTGCCAGGTACCTCAGGACAGTCATCTCTTATAGTTAATGCAATTGGATAACATGCCAGTATGTAGCCACATTAAGTATAACACAGGTTAAATATAGTGTAAAATTCTCTCCACTAAGGGAAGCACCACTGCCCCGACACTGGTTAAAAGCGAGAAGGTGGCAAAGCCGCAGGCTGAGAAGAGCAGCGTGAAAGGTGAGAAAAAGAAAAACATTTCTTCTGCAGAGGAGCAGAAGCTGAGAGAGCAGAAGCTGAGAGAGCAGAAAAAGAAAAACATTTCTTCTGCAGAGGAGCAGAAGCTGAGAGAGCAGAAGCTGAGAGAGCAGAAGCTGAGAGAGCAGAAGCGGAAAGAGCAGGAGCAGAGAGAACAGCAGCAGAGAGAACAGCAGAGAGAACAGGAGCAGCTAGAGAGACAGGAGCGAATTAAGAAAGAACTGGGGGATGATCTGCAGAAAAGAAAGGATAAAATCAGGTAACAACAAATTAAATTTATATAGTGCCTCTCACATCAGAAGGATGACTCAAGGGACTGGACAGTTAAGGGTTTGCACCAGAGCTGGGGGAGGGTAGGGGGATTGGGGGTGAAAGCACTGTCAAAGAGGAAAATAAGAACATACAAAGCAATGAAATGACGAAAAGGCCATCTAGCCCCGTTACTCCAACACACCAAACAATTCACTGGACATTTGCCACACTCCCCCACTCCTCACTTTATCTCCTGGGGCAAAACTCTATTCACCCACGACATAGACAGCTATTCCACTTTACAGTATGTCCTACGAAAACGCTTTGAATTGTCCTCCTGATATGAAAGGTCCAATATCAAATGTAAGAATTATCATTGCATATTTCTTGAATTTGAAAGATAACCAAGTATAATCTTCAGAAATACTCATCCATTGCCATTGACCTCCTTCCTTCACAGACAAGCTCTGTCTCATCTCCAGTGCAACCCATATCTTCCACTCTGTCCGCTTGTAGCTGTAAATCCAGCATTTATCCTCATTGTTCATCTCTGAACACTCTCCAATCTGTCAAATTTGGGTGCGTGAAACTGCTGCACACATTGGTCCAAATTTGGCCTCATCATAGGTGTGGCTGCAGAAAGCTTAGAGCACTCACCTCGCAAGTGAGAGATCTGGGTTTGATTCCCAGCAGGGCAAAATGTTGAGCAAGTTTCCTTACTCCACACACCTCTGTTTACCTAGTATTTAGTAGGAACACAGTTGTTAGTCGATTGGTGGATCGCTTTTCCCGGGGGTAATAATTCCTTCAAAAAAATAAATAAATTGGTCACTCAATCCATGACTGTTTGTGGGACACTGCTGAGCGCAATTGGCTTCCACGTTTCACTTACAGAATACAGTCAATTCACTTTACAAAGTCTGAAGCACTTTTGAGATGTCATAATGAATGATAAGACACTATATTAAGTGCAAGTATTGTTATTATCCTGTAAAGTAATAACAATCTTTGCATTTGATATAGCGTATTATCACTATCTCACTTTGTGACGTTCTCTCTGCTTGAAATACGCATGGAATCTGTGACAGCTGAATGTGACGTATTCAAAGCTTTGCTCTCTTCTCCCTTTAAAGGGTCTGTTCCCCAAGGTTGAAGTATTTTATGTCCTATTACAAGGTACTTGCGATTGGGCAGATGACTGCCGACCTCACTGTGCAGGCTTGTTAATTAAAGAAACTGTGGAAAGTTGAGCCCTGATTGTTAGGGCTGATGAGGGAGGTCAGCAGCTGTCTAAAAAGAGCTGTGCCCTGGCATGGGAGGTGTGACATCAAATTGGAGATTGAAAGAAAACACACTGTGGGATGCAACATATTTAATACATTTTGGTGTGTCCAGAATTTGTCAAATTCTTTTTTAAAAAGTTTTAATTTTAAAGCGGGGTTTCTGTACATTTCTTTAAAGCTTCAGAAAGCCAACTTCTAAATTAAGACAAAATTCAAAATTTGCTGTTTTCTGAACATTCTAAAATACTATAGAAATGGAGTATATCTAGATCCAGGTGGAATTTCTTGTGTGTGTATGCTTTGCTATAAGGGGCTTTTATGTTTTGCTATTATTCATTTGGTAGTGGTTTGTTTTAATTTGTGTGAAAAGGCTTAATTTTACTTCCAAAAGTCACTTCAGCTGTGTTTTTTTAATGGGCATAGACTGTAGCATTCTATCTTTGTTTATCTTTAATGTTTCTCTTGAATGATATCCCATTCTTTCCGTCTCTGTTCTGTTTTCTCCTAATCTGCCTTTCTCCCTTTCCGTCTGGCTGCTGCCTATTTTTCCATTTGCAGCCTGCCCTTCGCCTCACCCCCTCCCTTGCCTCCTTCAAGGCCTGATTCAAGATCTTTCTCTTCAGACGCGCCTTCATTCACCCTCCTACCCCACGCTCCCTACCCTCCACCTCTCCTGATCCTAACCTCTTGCTCGGGTCCAAATCCTTGACTGTCCAGGGCCATGGGATGTCCTCCCGATGTGAAAGGCCCTATATATATATGTCATTTGTTTTTGTCATTGTTGTTGCCACTTCCAATATTTCAAGTTCAGCAAGAGAATGCAGTATTGTAGCTAATGTGTAGTGGTGACCAGTGGCTACGAGACGAATGACCAACCCTTGTTCCCTCTGCCTCCTTGTCCTCCTGGACCTCTCTGCTGCGTTCGATAGTCGATCACGCCATCCTCCTCCACCGCCTTTCCTCCGTCATCCAACTCAGTGGGATCGCACTCGCCTGGTTCGAGTCCTACCTCACAAACCGCCAGCAGTACATGTGCACAAATGGCTTTTCCTCCGCTCTCATCCAGTTATCTGCGGGGTACCCCAAGGATCCATCCTTGGCCCCCTCCTCTTTCTGATCTACATGCTCCCTCTTGGGGATGTCATCCGCAGACATGGGGTACATTTCCACATGTATGCGGATGACACCCAACTCTATTTTTCCATCTCTCTTTGCGACCCCCAGTCCCCTGATGTTCTGTCATCCTGCCTGTCAGGCCTCAGGGGCTGGATGAGCGCAAATTTCCTTCAGCTGAACGTTGACAAGACGGCAGCCATACTCTTTGGCTCTCGTCAACATCTAAAATCTCACGGTTCTCACCTCCTCCACCTATCCGACCTCCCCCTAAAATTCCCCCTAAAACTCGTATGCAACCTAGGCGTCAGGTTTGACCCCCAATTATCCTTCCTCCACCACATCCGGTCCCTCACCAGCACCGCCTTCTTCCACCTCCGATGCATCGCCCGTCTCCCCAATACCTCACTCCAAAAGCCGCTGAAACCCTGGTCCATGCCTTTGTCACCTCTCGGCTGGACTATTCTAATCCCCTCCTCGCCAGCATCCCTCCACTATCATCCATAAAATCCAAATTATTCAAAACTCTGCTGCCCGCATTCTCACCCGCACCAAACTCCGCTCCCCGATCACCCCAGTCCTTGCCAGACTGCACTGGCTCCCTGTCCCAGAGAGGATCAACTTCAAGATCCTCACTCTTGTCTTCAAATCTCTTCCTCACTCCCTTCGCCTCGCTCCCTTTTCCTATTTTCAGGTCTCTGCTGAAGACCTTTTTTTCGACCGCAACTTTGGTCACCTTTCTCCCCCTCCCCCGGCTCGGCCCCGGGATCTGCTACCATGAAGTGCTCTGAGACGCTGTCCGGCGTGGAGGGCGCTATATAAATCCAAGTTGTTATTGTTGTTGTTGTTGATTCTCAGGCTTCAGAAGCTCCAGCAAGAGGAAGAGAGATCACAGCTCGAGGCGGAACAGAAGAGCCAGCAAAACCAGGAGCAACGGGAACGTAAACAACAAGAACAGTACAAAAGGAAACTGCAGGAAATGCAGCAGCAAAAGCAGCGAGACGTGACAGAGAGAGCAGGTGTGTGACAAACACTGACTGCTGGATTTCCTGATGTACTATTTTCTGTCACCTTTACACATTGTAGAGTGTCCACAAACTCCTGTTACTCCTTTTTAATATATAGTGCACTGACCAACAACTGAAACATGTGGAAGAATAATGCTGATTTTATTTGGAAGTATTTAATCGTATTCAGTATAACTGTTTAACTGTACTTAGACGTGCAGAAGCCCATAGGATCTGTGTGAGCGCCATCATTTTCATGGCAGATAATGATTCGTCGCCATGTTCAGTGCAACAGCTTTCGTAACATGATAGAGTGACGAGGTAAAATGCATCTCTGACAGCTTGTTTCACCTCATTCGTAGTCTCATATTGCTGTGGTGTAATAGGGGAGTAAAACGACTTTGTGGACAGCCTGTATGTAATTTACCTCTTTTATCTCCTTTATCTTTATCTCTGGGTCAAAACGCTGTGGGTTAGATTGGGATTGAAAAGAGAAGGGAGTTTCTCCTGGTGTTTTGGTTGACAATTCTCCACATAAAGTTGGATCATTTACTTTATGACTGTTGTGAGACTTCGCTGTGCTCAAAATATCGTGTTTATCTATAAATACAGTGATCTACACTTGACAGCAATACCTGATGTTATAGGTGCTGTATCAAATCAAATCAGGAGTATTACTTCACATAAATAAGATGGCACTGAAACATTTATTATGGGAGTTTGCAATGTATCATTCCTGTGTGTACTGTACACATACAGGAGCTGCCGCAGACACCCGCAAAGCATACAGCACGAAATAATTTTGAAACATTCCTTTTCTTAAAGTACTCTATGGTGGAGAAAGGAATACATCAAATGCAAGGCAATGATTATTATTTTGATTATTAGAGAGGGGAAATGTAGAGCAGTGGAGGCTCATTTGATCTATAAACACTATCAGAGATGAGTTGGGCCAAATGGCCTGTTTCTGTGCTGTAACGTTATATGAGTCAGTTGGTAGCTATGCGTTACCTCTGACTCAGAAGTGGTAGGTTCAAGCCTCATGTTGTGAATTTTAATTCATAGTCTAGACTGATATTCTAATGCAGTGGTAGGGATGTGCTGCATTGTCAGAGGTGCTGTCCTTCAGATGACATGTTAAACCGAGGTTCCCACTACCTGTTCAGGTGGACAAAGAGCAACTCTGAAAGAGAAGATAGTTTCTGCCCGTGTTCTGGCCACCAATCCCCCAAATACAAAATACACAGTCATGACACTGTGCAATAAAAGGGGCAGGAGACAGGTGTTTAATACGACCAAGAACACCAAACGTTGATGGATGTTTCAGTCAAGATTGAGCATGGTCTCTTCTGTGAATGTGTAATGTCAAATGGCAAATAGACAAATAATTCTAGTAATCATTCATTTTAAAATCTATGCTTGAAAAAAATTTGTTTGAAAGTGACTGCTGGACTCTTGTATGCTTTGTTCGCCCATGAAAACACATAGTTACTACACTTTACAATATATCCTGTGAAGCTCTTTGGGACGTCCTCCTGAAGTGAAATGTACGAAATGTAAGGATTATACTTATTATTGTTATTTTCAGTTGAGGCGGAGAGACGACGGAGTGCGGAGGATGCCTGGCTGGTGGAGGAGCAGCAGAGACAGATGGAAATGAGTGAACCAGATCATCTGGAATATCTGAGAAAGAAAAGGGAAGATGAAAACTGGATGCAGGAGCAACAGGTGGAGAGCTGGAAGGGGGAAGAGGAGACCACGAGACTGATGATGGAAAATGCCAAACAAGAAGCCATGATGTTAACACAGTGAGTAGAGTTGTTAGTGAGTGGAAGCCAGTCACACATTTATTTTGACGGGCATCCATATATAATACAATGTACAGTTGTGTAGTTAAAACCGCATAGCTTGCCATTGAAACTATTGTTTGGCAAGCTGCTTATCCAACTTGGACTACCCTACCCATTAGAATTTTGGTTTCCAGGGTTAACAGGAGCTGAGTAGGAAGAATTCTTGCCCCCAGTCTGCCTCTCCAAATCCTGCTGATGAGTCAGGCTGTCTGTGGACCCACCTGGCTCAAGAACCAGACTACCAGATGGCCACAGAGGGTTGAATCAATTCCAAAATTCCTTTGCCAAGTATGTCACCTTGGAGCCAGTTCAGCTCCAAGGAAACCGCACTTACCTTTTCCTCTCTGCCCTCCCCAAGAGGATGGCCATGATGGAACCTCTGTGTGTGTAGCCATCCATAAAACAGTAGGCTCTTCAGCCCATCAAGCTTGTTCTGCAATAATTATGACCATTTATTAACAATCTGCTGTTGTCTTGTTTACAGTCAGAGGGCTTTGATGGATCACCAGCTCCAGTTCAATAGGAATTTAATTGTGGAATCAAACGGCCTGGAGAGGATGCACGACATCACCAGGCCTTGGGTCTTCTCCTATTTTGGGCTGAAGAAGATCGTAGACGTGCAGCCATCACCAGAGGAATGAAGAAAAAGGAGATGAGCTTTTGAGAAATTAGAAATTGTGAGCAACAGGGCGCACTCCATAGAGATCTTTCCCGGTGGCTCTTAAAAAGTAAACTTGTAGCATTTACTTTTCGATAAAGTCAGATATTTGCTTTTCTCTCTGAGGCACGTAATGTTTAAGTGTAGCCATTATATAATATGCATCAGGAAGAATTTAAGTGAACCTGTGTACTGTGTGTGCCTCTTTTATGTAGCCCTTCTCATGCATTGTTTCTGCCTCGGAGGGAAAAGGGGACAAGCATGAGGTGGGGATATCTCTGTTCAAAATGTATTTACGAAACCAAAAAATGGTGCCAGTTTAGCCTTAAACCTTGACGTAGGTGAACTCATGTCCCACCATAACCCATCAGACAGCATGGAATTGATGATGGGTGCAGTGGTCTTTTAAGGTTGGTCTTATCCAGTTCTTAAGAACTGAAATTGCTGACCATCCAAAATGAAATGTGAATGTTGACTCAAAACAAACATGAAATCTCACTTGTAATGTTCGCCTGGAACAGATGCTCTCTCAGTATTACAGACTAGAGTTGAAGGAACATATAGAAGAGTGTCCTTTACTCAACTGACTTTTAAATTGTTACAAAGCGCAGAGGATTTCTGTGACGTGCCGGATTCATTTTTAAAATAAAATGTTAAAAGGAAAAAAAAGTTTGTGACTGGTTCATTTTTCAGACTAAACCACATAAAAACAATAATAATCCTTACTCCACACGCCTAATAATAATCCCTCCAAATCCAAAAACAATAATAAATTGGTCATTTTCAATCTACGACTGTTTGTGGGACATTGCTGTGCGCAATTGGCTTCCGCGTTCGCCCACAAATATACAGTCAATTCACTTTACAGTGTGTTCTGTGAAGCGCTTTGGGACGTCCTCCTGACGTGAAAAGCACTATATCAAATGCAAGGACTATTATTATTATTATTTGATATAGCGCCTTATCACATCTTTGAGATGTCTCAAAGTGCTTCACAGAATATACTGTAAAGTATAATTTACTGTATATTTTGTGGGCGAAACTCAGCAGCCAATTAAGTGACCAAATTATTGTTTAAAATTTTTTTTGAGGGGATTATTACTGCCAGAAAAGCTATCCGACAATCGACTAACAACCGGGTTCCCATTCAGTGCTAGGTAAACAGAGGCATGTGGAGTGAGGAAACTTGCCTAAGGTTCTGCCCTGCTAAGCCAGGTCCTCTCGCTTGTGAGACAAATGCTGTAACCAATATGCTACAGGACTCCACTTCCGAAAGGTTTAAGGTGCAATTGTTTTTTCAGTCGAACGATGGATTTTATTTGTCCTGGTATACCAAACCAGGGACTGACAAAAAAATTTAATTCATTATCCAGCCTCAGGTCCTGCCATCTAGTGGGCAATTCCAATTTGATGGTACAGACTGACAAAAAAGAAAACAACAAATTACATTTGTATAGCACCTTTCATGTCAGGAGGCCGTCCCAAGGCACTGGACAGTCAGGGATCCGCACCCAGGGTGGGGAGGGTAGGGGTAAGAGGGTGACTGAAGGTACAGTCGAAGAGGAGGGTCTTGAGATGGAGGTGGCAAGGGAGGGGGTGAGGCGGAGGGACTGTGGGTGGAGTTCCAGAGAATGGGAGCGGAGAGACTGAAGGCCCGCCTGCCAATAATGGGGCAGGCAAGGTGGGGGGACATGAAGCAGGCCAGCGGAGGGAGCAGACAGGTTGGTAGGGGATTAGCTCACAGAAGTAGGGGAAATAAGGTCATGGAGGGGTTTGAAGGTGAGGACTAGGGTCTTCAAGTGTATTCTCTGAGTGATAGTGGGCCAGTGGATCCGGGCGAGGATGGAGGTGATAGGTTCGCAGAGCCTGGTGTGGGAGAGGCTTCAGAGTTCTGGATGATCTGCAGTCTATGGAGGGAAGAGTTGGGGAGGCCGACAAGCAGGGAGTTTGCCAAGTCGAGCCTGGATGTGATGAATGCATGGATGAGTCTCGGCTGCCAGGGGTGCGAGACAGTGGCGGTGTCGGGCAATGTTGCGGAGGTGGAGAAAAGCAGAGCGGGACAGGGCACGGATGAGGGGAATGAAGGACAGTTGAGGGTTGAACAGGACTCCGAGGTTCTGTATTGGCTCCGTGAGTTGTAGAGTGTATCCATGAAGGGTGATGCTGTCAGCGCCCGAGGTTTGGAGGTGCTAACGAGAGACAAGCAGGAGGGCCTTGTTCTTACTGACATTCAACTGCAGGAAGTTAGCTCTCATGCAGGACTTGATGTCCAACAGACAGTCTGTGAGGACAGCAGTTGTCTTGGAATTGAGGGTAGAGGTGGACAGGTAGAATTGGGGAACATCCGCATACATGTGGAAGTTGATCCCATACCTACAGATGATGTCACCAAGAGGGAACATGTAAATGTTGGAAAGGAGGGGACCAAGGACAGAGCCCTAAGGGACGTCACACATAATGGTGTGGGGGCTGGAGGAGAAGCCATTGATGGAGGCAAAGTGGAAACGGCGGGAGAGGTAGGATTTGAACCAGGCAAGGGCAGGTTCGTGAAGGTTGAGCTGAGAAGAAAGGTGATGGAGGAGGATAGAATGGTCGACAGTGTCAAAGGCAGCAGAGAGGTCGAGGAGGACAAGGAGGCAGAGAGAGCCCTGGCCGCAGATGGACAGTGATTCTGACCAGGGCTATTTCCGTGCAGTGGGCAGCATGGAAAACTGATTGGAGAGGTTCATAGAGGGAATGGCGGGAGAGGAAAGAGCGAAGCTGGGACATGACAACTTGTTCCAGGCGGGGAAAGCAAGGTTGGAGATGGGGTGGTAGCTGGAGAGTAGTGATGGGTTCAGGGAAGGATTTTTCAGGATCAGGGTGATTTTTTAGAGGGGTGGGATCAGTGTCAATGGATAAGGAGAGGTTGATGATGCCAATTAAAAGAGATGCCAGGGAAGTAAGGAGGGATGGGCATGGGGTTGAGGGAGCAGGTAGTGGACTTCATTTTTGAGATGACAGAGATGAGGGAAGAGCAGGAGATGGGGTCAAAGGTGTGTAAGGAGGGGTGGGAAGGGGCTGGGGTGTGAGGGGAAGTGGGTAGTGGTAGACGGGAGATGTATTGTGTTGTGCTAATGGGCTGACAAAACAGCCTATCAGCAAAGGACGAGTTTAGGTAGGTGCAGTTTACACAATGTGCCATTCACGACACATTGTCAATATATTCAGCAACTATCACAATTTTCAGAAACAACATCAAAGTTACCGGAAAACAGAAATTCATGAATGAGTCAATTTGTTGGTCACCTTGATTCACTGAATGTGGGATGAGTTTCCTGAAAACTGAACATGGGAATTCTGAATGGACTTTTTATTTCAATCCTAATTCAATCCTAATAGTTAAGTGGAAAAGTACTGATAAACATCCTTCCATCTGATGTTCCATCCATTTATTGGGTGCATAGAGGAGGAAATTAATGCTCAAATACCTGTATTTGATGCTTGGCACTGTATGACTGAGAGGAACAGATGAAAACAGGAGACTCATTAAACCTGTTCCACTAGTTTTTAAGATGTTGTTAGATCTTCCAATCCCAATGCCCTGCCCTTTTACTACCCCCTTTTATACTTATACTGCCCAAGTCTTTTGTCCATTGCCCCTTATAACATCTGACTGATTCTGTCTCTAGTCTTTGAGCAAAATGTTCCACATCTTCACAACCCTTTGTGTGAAGAAATGCTTCCTGATCTTAATTCTAACTATCTTACTTCTGATTTTAAGGCTACACTCGGTTTATCTTACCAGCTTGGTCTATTTGGATAGCTGCTCTTTGTAATTGGTATGATGGTTGGCTCCTCTGGTAACTGGTGCTCATAGTTCTTTACTCAGTTTACTTGGTTTCTAGTTTGGAGAGTTGCTACTTTGGCTGATTTCCAGGTGGTTGGCAACTCAAGTTATCTGGTTACTAGGTGAATTGGTTGCTTTGGCCACTGATTTTGTCCTTTGTTGGTTAGGCTACTTAGAATTATTGGTTAGGCTGGCTAGGTGGGAGGTTGCCGGTTTGGCTGGCGGGAGGGTTGCCAGTAAGCTTGGTTATACAAGATAGCTTGGCTAGGTACAGTGGTTACAGGTTGGGTTGGTTATGCCAGTTAAATTGGTTAGGTGGGGTGGTTACCAGTTAGATTGGTTACACTATTGGGGCAATGGCTGGTTGGGTTGGTTACTCTGGTGGGGTGATGACTAGTTAGGTTGGTTACTCTGGTGGGGTGATGACTAGTTAGGTTGGCCTCTCTGGTGGGGTGATGGCTAGTTAGGTTGATTACTCTTGTGGGGTGAACAATAATAATAATCCTTGCATTTGATATAGCGATTTCACGTCTTCTAGACGTCTCAAAGCGCTTCACAGAATATACTGTAAAGTGAACTGACTGTGTATTTGTGGGCGAAATGCGGCAGCCAATTGCACACAGCAATGTCCCTCAAACAGTCGTGAATTGAGTGACCAAATTGTTATTGCTTTTTTTTCTTGAGGATTTATTGTCAGGTACGTAGAGTAAGGAAACTTGACCAAGGTTTCGCCCTCACCTGCCGGGAATCGAACCCAGGTGTCTCGCTTGTAAAGTGAGTGCTCTAACCACTGAGCTACAGGACTTGATGACTAGTTAAGATTGGTTACTCTGGCGGGGTGATGACTAGTTAGGTTGGTTACTCTGGCGGGGTGATGACTAGTTAGGTTGGTTACTCTGGCGGGGTGATGACTAGTTAGCTTGGTTACTCTGGCGGGGTGATGACTGGTTAGGTTGGTTACTCTGGCGGGGTGATGACTGGTTAGACTGGTTACTCTGGCGGGGTGATGACTGGTTAGGTTGGTTACTCTGGCGGGGTGATGGCTGGTTAGGTTGGTTACTCTGGCGGGGTGATGACTGGTTAGGTTGGTTACTCTGGCGGGGTGATGGCTGGTTAGGTTGGTTACTCTGGCGGGGTGCTGACTGGTTACTCTGGCGGGGTGATGGCTGGTTAGGTTGGTTACTCTGGCGGGGTGATGGCTGGTTAGGTTGGTTACTCTGGCGGGGTGATGGCTGGTTAGGTTGGTTACTCTGGCGGGGTGATGGCTGGTTAGGTTGGTTACTCTGGCGGGGTGCTGACTGGTTACTCTGGCGGGGTGATGGCTGGTACAGCTGGTTATACTGGTTGGAGTGGATGGTGACTTGTTCACTGGCTCCTCTTCCCCCTGAGGCGGTCGCTAGTTGCTGTGACGCTATTTCCGGCGGAAGTCAGGCCGGCTCCACACTGACTGTTGTTCTCGGCGGTGACTGACGGCAGCGGTATGTCTGACCAGGTGAGAGGCTGCGCGCGGCACTGGCCCCTCGGCCCGAGCACAGACTTCGGCCGCTTTCCGCAGCGGATGGGGCTGCGAGCGAGCGAGCGCCGTGTGTCGCATAACGCTGTCCGCGGCGCGTTCTCGGCGGCGTTGTGCGTAGGAAAGGCCGAGGATTTGCAGTGGGAGTTAGGCCCCGAATACAAGAGGCTCGAAAGCAGCTGCGGCCGTTCGAGCGGCTGTTGGGGAGTGAGTCAGAGTGAAACCCCAGCGAACGGTCAATATAACCCCCATCAGACAACCAAAGCCATCCGAGGAGTGGTGCTGCGAGGAAAGGGGGACCAGCCTTGGCGGAGGGCTGCGGTTAGAGCAGTCATTGATCATCAGAATTTATATATATATATAGAGAGAGAGAGACGAGACAGACCAAGTTTACACCATGAGACAGACAGTGAGGTAACACCATCAGCGACACTGATCGGGGTTACACCATGTCAGACAGACAGAGACTGTGTGGTTATACTGTGAGAGAGAGACAGACCCACTGGGGATACTCTGTGTGGGAGGGACGGAAACCGGGATTACATTGAGTTAGAGAGAGACACACACACACAGACTGGAGATACATTGTGGGAGACACAAACACGGACTGAAGTTACACTGTGAGGCACAGTGAGAGTTACAGACAGACGAGGATCAGACACAGTCGGACCAGCAGCCGTTACACCAGAGTGGGAAAGAGCCACAGACAAATGGGTTGCACAATGAGAGAGACACTGATGTGTGAGACAGATGCAGTCAGGTAACAAGGTATGATTGAGAAACGGACAAATCGGGATTGCAGAATATATGAGAGACCCACACAGACAGATTTGGGTCACAGTGTAAAATGTACCAGACATACAGTATTTGTTTCAAGAAATATGAAGTTAGACACAGACAATTTGAGACCCAGGCAGAGTAGGGTTATACAGACCTATTTATTTTTAGGTTATATGCCCCAGAGGCTGGCAGACATATGAGAGCTGGAGCATAAAATGATCTTGAGGGAGATGGACTATAATATTCCTTGCATTTGATATAGCAGTTTATCATGTAGTTGAGATGTTTCAAAGAGCTTCACATGATATACTGTAAAGTGAATTAACTGTTTTTTGTAGGCGAAATGTGGCATGACTAGAATGCTGACTGGGTTAAGGAGCAGTTGACAGGTTAACCAGCCCATTACCCCAGGCTTCACCTGTCTTCCAAAAAATCAACTTTCATCTCCAAATCTCTTCACAGCCTCCCTCCCACCTCCCTACCTCTGATCTTCTCCAGCCTCCTTTCTGATTGCCCCCTCCAGCTGTGTATTCCTTGTCTGCTCAGTCCCATCAGTGGTTGAGTCTTCAACCTCTTTACCACCCCCATCTCTGGACCTCCCCCCTGACTCCATCCTCTTGTTCTGACATTCATGCTGTGCAAAGGGTACCTTCACATACTTAAGTGCCTATATCTTTTGACTGAGTTTCAGGTTGAAAACGAGCATGGGCAGATTTGCTTTGATGAGTTTCTGAAACCTGATTCTCTTCAGCCGGGCAAAACTAGACTTGTCTGGAATGCTTTGATTTAAAGGGAAGCTGGCATCGTGGGAATGGGGGAGGAATCGAGGTGGAATCAGAGTCAATAGTATTTAATTGGGGGAGAGGGGGATTATAGGATTGGAAGCTAATGGATCTGACATTATGAGGAAACAGAGGAATGGGAGAGAAAAGAAGGTGAAGGTGACTGCTAGAATCATACAAGCAACATCAAGGGATTGTGGAGGACATCTGCCCTCTCCAGCTTCAGACTGTTTTACCAAAACTCAGATTGCAAAGTTATTTCACAAATATGAGAAGAATCTTGTCTATTTGCTGTGTCTTTAAATTCAATACTGGATATCAATCCTGCATCAATAACTGGAAATAGTGAGTCACAGAAGGATACTGATTCATAGATTTCATAGATTCATAGAATGTTACGGCACAGAAGGAGGCCATTCGGCCCATCGAGTCTGTGCCGGCTCTTTGACAGAGCAAGTCACTTTCACTAACCCCAATCACCAGCTTTCTCCCCATAACCCTGCAAACCCGTCTTCCCCAGATACCTATCCAGTTCTCTCTTAAAAGCTGTTATCGAATCGGACTTCACTACCCTTTCAGGCAGATCATTCCAAATTCGAACAACTCGCTGAGTGAAAACATTTCTTCTAACCTCCCCTCTGCTTCTTTTGGTAGATATCTTAAGACTGTGACCACGGGTCACAGACACACCTACCAGCGGAAACAGCTTTTCCTTATCTAGCCTGTCGAAACCTTTCATGATCTTGAAGACCTCTATCAGGTCCCCGCGTAACCTTCTCTGCTCTAATGGGAAAAGTCCTAACTTCTCCAGCCTGTCCTCATAGCTAAGGTTCCCCATTCCTGGTATCATTCTCGTGAATCTCCTCTGCACCCTTTCCAGTGCCTTAATGTCCTTCCTGAAGTAAGGTGCCCAGAACTGGACGCAGTACTCCAGCTGAGGCCTAACCAGTGTTTTGTATAGATTAACCATAACCTCCCTACTCTTATACTCTATGCCCCTACTAATAAAGCTCAGTACACCAAATGCCTTTTTTACTGCCTTATCTACCTGCCCTGCTACCTTTAATGATTCGCTTACTTGAACACCCAGATCTCTCTGTACGTTCACCCCCCTTAAGATTGAGCTACCAAGTCTATATTGCCTCCTATCATTTTTCCTACCTAAGTGTATCACCTCACACTTATCCACATTGAAATCCATCTGCCACATGTCAGCCCATTCCACCATTCTGTGTATGTCTGCTTGCAGTTGGTTACAGCCCTCCTCACTATTTACTAGCCTACCTAACTTTGTATCATCTGCAAACTTGGAAATAGTGCTCTCTATGCACAAGTCCAGATCATTAATATATATTAGAAAGAGCAGTGGTCCAGTGATGCTGGGAGCTTGCAAACCCGAGTGCAAGTGTGTGTTTATTTTGCCAGTTGAAAACCCCTCTACTTCTCTCTCCCCCACTCCCATTTCACTTGAGTTGATTTTATTACCATTAATCATTGCAATTTGACATCCAACAGAAATGATGGAAATCTACAGCAGGTCAGTTGGGATGTGACGAGAAAAATGTGTCAATAATGTGACCTTTCATCAGAACTCGAGGGAAGGGGCGGTAAAAGGGAAAATTAGTAAAATGCTTATAAAAATATGAGTGAACAACAGCAATTTATCATTATATAGCACCTTTTGTGCTTAGGGGAAAAAAATAATTTTACCATTGAGCTGGGTGGGAGATGAAGAGGGTAGGAAGTGATTGATAAAGGAGTTAATGGAGATGAATAAAATAATGACTAAGCAGGTGTGAAATTCCTGTTGAGCTAAGTTTACAACAAAAACAATTACATTGATAATGCACCTCAAAACACTTCACACAGGGAGCAGAGAGCTGAGAGGTTACTATGTGTGTTTGGTGGGGGAGGGGGAAGTTTAAGGAGAAGGAAAGTAGGAAAAATGGAGCAAAGACTGCTATGGCAGATGTTAATTGTCTGAGAGAAAAGAATAAGAACCTGATCCTGAAGGTTGAGGTAGGCTTGGTTAGAGCAGTGTCAGGCCAAGAGTGGAAGTGGCATGTGGGTTGGGGAGTGATAAACCACAGGATTGTGTTCTAGACAGAACTGAGACCTGGCAAAATTTTCCAACTCTGTTCTTCCCTTTTCACAAAAATGGACTTCACAGTAATGTTAATCACCAACTGATAGTCTTGTAATTAGAATAGTGATCCTTGCACTTGATCTAGCACCTTATCACATTATTTAAACATCTTGGAGTGCTTCACAGGATTTTACTGTGAGGTGAATGTAGGTGAATGTGGCAGTCAATTTGCACACAGCAATGTCTTAGAAACAGCTATGAAGTGGATTGTATAACCTAATCCCTAATTTTTTCTTGGCTTGGCTTCCTTGGTTCTTTCCTTCTCAATTCGGATGGAGAGTTGTGTCACAACATATTAGCCTATTTTTCTCTTTGAGATGCAACTTCACCTGCTTTGGATTTCTAGCAGTTTGATTTCAAGGTCCTCGCTGTCACCTGTAAATCCCTTCATGCCCTAGCACCTTCCTCTCTGATCTTCTACCCAATTCCTCTGCTCAGCTAACTTGAACTTGCTAATCATCCTTTGCCCTCTCTGTGCCACCATTGATGGTTGAAACCCCTGGTTGTCCAGCTCCCTGGAACGTCTTTCCAAAGTGAAGGGCACTAATTTGTTGTTTTTGTTGAGTCCCTATCTGGAGCTCTATCTCTCAGTTTCCCCCCACCTAACTGGCTGTCTAATTCATGTTTTAAAACCTACCCTTTTGACGGCGCAAATTGTCACCTCCCTTTTCCCTTTTTTTTTGGCCTTTGACCCCATTTTTATCAAGTGCTCTGATCTTATTTTTCACGAAGGGCGCTGTACAAGTGCAAGTTGTTCTATATTTCTCTCTGATTTCTGGTTACAATAGAAATATTTTCTGATGGGAATATAAGATAAGATTCTCAGATTTAACTCGAGGTGAAGTCGATCTCTTTTGCTTTCTCTTGTCCCCCATTAAACAAATTATACGGTGTACAATCTTAGTTGGTAGCATTGAAACCTCTGGGTCAGAAGGTTGTTGGGTTCAAGCCCCACTTCAAGAATTGAGTTCACAGTCTATGCTGACAGTCTTGTGCACTTTTTAGTCTCAGTCAAGAGATTGAAAGTTAAAATATAAAACGATATGGGGAAAGGGTGAGGCAATTGGATGAGATGGATTATGCTTTCAAGAGCTTTCAAGAGCTGTCTTGAGTAAAATGGTTTCTCTCTGTTCTGTAAATTTTGTGTGATCCTATTCCATGATAGTGATGGAAGCAAGTTGAAATGTTTGTGTTGACTTGTTGTGTTGGTGAAGCTAGCTCGCAAGCACAAGGTGTGAGTTAGTGCTGATCAAGATCCTATGTGACACCTG